AAGGTTATATCTGAACGTAAAATTTTCCGCTTTTTCATTTTCCGGTGTCAAAAAGGGGGGTTTCCATTTAAAAAAAACCACTTCCGGTTGAAGTAACCCACTTTCGGTCAAAATCAAAAGTTGAAAGGTACGCCATTTTGGTTCCGCCTCGAAACCCTACAACTTTTATATGAAACTTTTTTCGATTCCTGGCCACACAAACGAGTTATTGGAGGTGATAGATTCAGATGACTCACCCTGTATATATATACACATGTAACATGTTCAACTTGTAAATTTTTACAAGTGAGTATTTTTTAAATTGAAATTTCAATTTCTAATTCATATGGGATGCTAGATTTTTATCTAGCCGAGAGGTATCCGGAGTCTCTCATATGTGAGAGGCCCCGGATACCCGCCTAATTTTTAAAATATTGCGAAAAAATCTCCTCGGCCAGGAGTCGAACCTGGAATCTCCGGCTTTCTGTGCCATCGCCTTCCTTCTTAGGCCACCGAGGCACTTGGAGTTAGTCTCGCAATATTTATACATATATCGAAGATGGTCTGATACTGGTGATAACGCTTATTTTTCAGTTATTATTTCACTTTTAGTGCAATCCTGACTGGTTTGGTTTTGTATGTGACATAAACCGCGCAGGTCAAAGAGTTCTGGTGTAATTTTCGATGCAGCCACGCCAAGTTTTTTTGCCTTAATTATTTTTTATGTATCGACTTTTTACAAAAACCAAAGCCTAACTATTGATACAATAATTTCATATTTGTTAGTTTTTACATAATGTTTTTAATTAAAATGTACACAAGTGTACATTGGTGCTATGTTTGATATCATTTCTTTTGTAAAACATATTTTGTAGAGAAAGATATGTTTGTTTGGCGTGTACTTGGCGCCTTTTTTCCTTGTTTTAAAAAAGTAAGTTTTACGAGATATCACACATTTTGTAGAATTTACATTTATCTTCACATTCATCTTTTTTCCATTTTATCTCTTTTTCTCAATTCTTAACAATAGTAAAATATTTATTTCTTTATTTTTTCCAAGAAAAGAATATAAACATTTGTAGCACTTGTAGGCCAATGGTGTTTTCTAATTTGCATATACTAACTTACGTTACTACCTAAAACATAATAAAAGTATTAATTGCTTACACGCCTGCTTACACGCTTACAACGAAGAAATCAAAACAAATTATATAGCGTCGTAATTGCAGTTGCACTGCGTCCATTCATGCATTTCTCACGCAAAACGAGGTTTACCCCAAACCTATGTGTCTAGTTTTTGGATAGTTGAGCCCCCCCAGGGAGGGCGGAACACACTGCCTCCACGCATACACTTTCCACAAGCGGTCGACATCGTGTGTCATGTAAATAAATTCGTGAAAATGCATATTGAATGCATTAGAACAGTGTCTTCGAAATCGAGGGTATGCGACTAACGGTTCGACACGTACTGGCAAGCTGTACATGTTAGTCAATGAAGAAATCAAACCAAAGATGTATGTTGATATAATATGTCACTCTCAGCTCATTGTGATTATATGCTAAAGAAAATAGGTATGCTAAAAAAACCGAGTTTCTTATATAGAATAGGCAACTTTATATCAGCGTACACTAGATTATATACAAGACAATCATAACGCCGCACTTAATATTACAGTGTGATAGGTATACCAAAGTAGAATGTGCGGGATTCACTGCAATTTATGTTTATAAAACAACGATTATATTATAATGTTTGTATATTTAGTTTTTTAAGATCTTAAGAAACTTGTTACCAGAGATAGGTTAGAAATAATAGAAAGTAAAAGAAAAACGAAGCAAATTGGAGACATTAAAATAAAATTCAGAAAAACGAGGAGCGCACAAAAAATATGTTTTCTGAAGAGATAAAAATGTACAACGCCTTACGCGTGGAAATAAAAAGTAAAGAAAGACGAATCATTTAAAAGAATGATAAAAACATATGTTATAGCAAATGTTTGTTAAAACTGTATTTAAAATAGCTGAGAAAGCTAAATAAAAATCAATCAATCACAATCAATCAATTTCTCACTCTCTCTCCAACTCTCTCTCGCTCTCTCTAACTGTTTATCACTCTCCCTCCCACTCTTTCTCACTCTCTTTCACTCTCTCTTACTGTCTCTCACTCTTTCTCCAACTTTCTCCCACTCTATCTTCCACTATTACTCTCTCTCTTTCACTCTCTTTCCAACTCTCTTACTCTCTCTCCCACTCTCTCTCACTCTCTCCCAAACTCTTTCACACTTTCTCTCTCTCTCGGTCTCTCGCACTCTTTTACCCTCTCTTTTACTCTCTTTCGCATTCTCTCGCACCCTCTCACTCTCTTTCGCACTCTCTCTCACTCTCTCTCTCTCACTCTCTCTCGCACTCTCCTTCACTATCTATCGCACTTTCTCGCATCTTCTCTCACTCTCTGTGGCACTCCTTCTCATTCTGTCTCACTTTCCCTCTCAATCTCTCTCCAACTCTCTCCCACTCTCTCTCACTCTCTTTCACTCTCTCTCGCACTCTCTCGCACTCTCTCTCGCATTCCCTCTCACTCTCTCTCACACTCTCTCACACACTCTCTTTCTCTCTCTCTCTCTCTCACTCTTTCTCTCACTATCTCGCACTTTCTCTCATTCTCATCCACTTTATCTCCCACTCTCTCTCTGCCTCTCTCTCACTCTCACTCGCAATTTTTTCTCACTCTCTTTCACTTTCTCTCGCACGTTCTCTCACACTCTCTCGCACTCTCTTGCACTCTTTCTCACTCTTTTTCACTCTTTTTCACTCTCCTTCGCACTATCTGTGACTTCCTCTCTTGCCCTCACTCGCACTCTCTCTCATTCTTTTTCACTTTCTCTCGCACTCTCTTTCACTCTCTTTCGCACTCTCACTCTCTTTCATTCTCTCTCTCATTCTCTCTCACTTTCTCTCACTCTCTCTTACACTCTCTTACTCTCTCTGACTATCTCTCACTCTCTTTCTCACTCTCTCGCACTCTCTCTCATTCTCTCTTACTTTCTCTCACTTTCTCTCGCACTCACTCTCTTTCCCACTCTTTCTCGCATTCTCTCTCACTCTCCTTCACTCCCTCTCGCACTCTCTCTCTGTCTCTCTCGCGAGTAGAGAAGACGTGTCACACATCGCTCCGTAAAAATTAGAAGTTTTTAGTGAGTAAGTAATCAGAGAGTGTGGTAAAAAGTGGTTTAACTTATAGAGCCATAGAAAGTGAGTAATTATGAGTATTATCTAGTTATGATATGCTCAATTGTGACTGTGAGAAGTGCATTTCTTGTTCGGGACATTGAAGTCCCGAACAAGAAATGCACTTTGTCTTGCAAGACAAGTATACATTTTACGTGGACACAAGAGTGTTGACGTGTGTAAGTGGATTACAGGTGAATGATCGCTTGCGCTGATATTAACGATTCTGGTCGGTAATTATTGGCATGGACGATGAATATGCAGAATACCGATGTTCGGCATGTAAGAAGGCAATATAAAACAAAGATGTTAAGTGCAGGTCTTGTGTCAAACTTTTTTACCACTCGGGATGTGTATGTAAACATAAAGTATATGATAGAAATCGAGAATTGGTGCAATGTCGTGCTACATTTGCAAAGTTTTTTGTTGAAAACGGCCAAGAAGCAAATATGAAGAAAGCGCCGACGACGGCGGAGAACAGCAGGGATAGGACAGGATCTACAGGATCTACAGGTTCTGCGGGATCGTTCACAGCACCGAGTAGTGGAAATAAATCATCAGGAATGAGTGGATCGACTGGCATTGATATAAGAATAGATTATCTTATAAGAACTGTGAAAGAAATCAAAGATGAAACAACAAGTAAGAAAGAAATCACAATGATGATTAAAGAGATAGTTCGCGAGAGGAATTGAGAAACGTTAAACACGAACTGGAAAATCTAAGAAGAATGATACAGGGAGTAGTGCGCAAACCAGCGTCAGGAACGCAAAGAAGCTACAGTGAAGCAGTNAAAGAAATGAAGAGAAAAAATATTATAATTGTGAAGCCAAAATTGGAACAAGAAAGTGAAACCACAAAAAAGTTAATAAAAGAAAAAGTGGATATTAAGATCATGGCGATGGGAGTAACGAAATTAAGAAAAGGAAGCAAAGGAACTGTAATAATGGGATGTGAAACTGGAGAGGAAGTAACAAAAGTGAAGGAGACAGTTCAAGCTAAACTAGGAGAAAATTATAAAGTAGTGGAATCACCACAATCAAAGCCAAAATTAAAATGTATTAATGTAGGGATAGAAGAGATAAATTTAAATGATGATAAACTTATATCTACGATAAAAAGGCAGAATAAAATGAGTACAATAAATATGCGAATAGTGAAAAAAATAATTAAAGAAAAGAAAAATAATAACAACCAGTCTAAAAAAAGAAAATGTGAAGAGGAATCACTAATATTAAAAACAGATGATAAAACACACGAGTTAATTTTGAAGAAAAATAAACTAAATATAGGATAGGAAAAATGTCCTGTATTTAATCATGTTAGTGTTAAAAGATGTTTTAAATGCTGGGGTTATTATCACATAGCTAAAAACTGTGTGAGAGACGAGACATGTTACAAATGTGCAGAGTATCACAACTCGATTGACTGCTTAGCGACAAAGAAGAAGTGTGTAAATTGTATGTTCAAAATTTGAACATATAACCTGAAATTAAATGACGAGCACGATGCTCTCAGTATAGAGTGTCCATCTTTTAAGAGAGCATTTTAAGAAGAGAAGAGGACAGTTGGCTGGAAGGACACTAAATAGCAACTACAGGAAGATGTGGAGCTAATGCTATATACAAATGCGCAAAGTTTAACGGCGCATAAAGATGAGATACAGCACCAGATTTTGAAAAAAATAAACCCTGCATTCTTAGCACTGTCGGAAACTAGATTGACTGATGAGATTGANGATAGTGAAGTGAGCGTTCAAGGTTATAGTATAGTTAGGTGTAATACTGAGAACAGAAATACAGGAGGAGTTGTTTTATATATAAGGGACGATGTTAAATATGAAATAGTATTAGCAAAAACCTTAAAATTGAACTGTTGGTGTGTAGCGGTAAATGTAAAAGAAAAATTGTGTAAAGGAGTGATAATGGTAGTATATCATCAAGCGTGTTACATGGTGACTTCATGAAATTTCTAAAAGATATAGTAGAAGAGTTAACAATAAAAGAAGAATGTATAGTAATTGGTGACTTTAATATAGATTTTATGATAGATTCCTTTTATGCGAAGAAGCTGCAAACGATAATGCTGAGCTTAGGTATGAAACAATACGTTAATAAACCGACAAGAATCACGAAAGACAGTCAGACAATCATTGATTTAATCTTCGCTAATAATGATAGTTTAGAAGTACAGGTAGTTTACAAATCTAAAATTACAGATCACGCATGGCTTCAAGTTAAATTTGGTGCTAATAGAAGTAAAAATAACTATAGAGAATTTAGCGCTAGAAGCTTTAAGGAATTTGATGTAAGTGAATTTACCAGGTTAGTGGAAAATAAATTGCATAAAAGACGAGATATGGATGTCAGTATGAGAGCGACAAAGCTAGTTGACAGTATAGTAGAAGCGTTAGATGTAGTAGCACCGATAAGAAAGTTTAGAATTCCGAAAGTGTGGGAAGGGAAAAAATGGTTCTCAGATGAAATAAGAGAAGCAGATGATAGAAGGGATAAAGTATACAAGAAAGCGATTTATGAAAATAGTGAGCAAAATTGGTTGCAATTTAAAACTGAAAGGAATACAGTTGTAAAAGTAATTAAAGATAAAAAAGAGAGTATTATGAAAATATGATAGATCTCAACAAGGAAAATTTTACGACTATGTGGAAAACCTTGAAAGAAATAATTAAAGGTAAGCCAGTAGAAACAAAGATAGTAGAAAATATAGATTTTGGAATCTTAGATAATATTGATGAGCCGAATATAGCCGATAAGTTTAATTTCTACTACGTAAAGAGTATTAATAATATAGTTCAATTTATACATGTAGGTAGGTCCAGCGGTACAAATAAAAACATTATTTATGTTATCGAGGACAAAGGAAGTATGGAGAGTTTCGAGATGATAGGGGTAGACAAGTTAGAAAAAATTGTTATGAGCTTACCAAAAAAGAAAAGTACGGATAAGGGCATAACTAGTGATGTATTAAAAGCAGCTTTCTGCGCAATAAAAGAGGAGTTTGCAAATGTAAGAAATAGTTTTTTGAGAGTTGGTTGCTGTCCGGAAAGATGGAAAACTTCGACGATAGTGCCGATACCAAAAATAGATAAAGCGAGAAAAGCAAGTGAATACAGACCTATTAATATATTACCAGTATTCGAGAAAGTATTAGAAGTAGTAGTAAACGAACAGCTTGAAATGTATCTAGAAAGTAATGCTATTATTATAGAGCATCAGTCGGGGTTCAAAAAACAGTATTCGCGCGAAACAGCGATTCAAACTGTCATTGACGAATTGAAACTAGTAGTAAGTGAGGAACAAACGGTGGGAGTAATTTTCATGGACCTTAAAAGAGCGTTTGAGACAATAGACAGAGAAAGATTATTAAGGAAATTGTATCAGCATGGAATTAGAGGAGTAGTCTTAGAGTGGCTTAAATCGTATCTAAGCAATAGAAAACAGCAAGTGCGATTTAATCATAAGTGGTCTAGATTACTAACAACAGAATATGGAGTACCACAGAGATCAGTACTGGGACCTTTGTTATTTGTAGTATATATAAATGAATATAATCAAAATCTTTCCAGAAGGATGCAGTATAAAAATGTTTGCTGATGACACCTTAATATACGTAAGTGGAGAAAGTAGCACGGATTTAGAGAGTAAAATGAATACAGCATTCACTGTAGTCGAGCAGTGGATGAATATAAACAAGCTAAAAATGAATGCGGAAAAAACGAAATTTATGATAGTTAGAAGTATAAGAAAAGAATTGAGAGGTAATATTACACTGAAATGTGTGTGTGTGTGTGTGTGTGTGTGTGTGTGTGTGCCTGGACGGTATTGAGACAGAGCGTGTAGAAACAATGAAGTATCTAAATATAATTATTGATGACAAACTAAGATTTAAAGCTCAATGTGATTATATGCTAAAGAAAATAGATTAAAAAACGGGTTTCTTACATAGAATAGGCAACTTTATATCAGCGTACACTAGATGTATTATATACAAGACAATCATAGCGTCACACTTTGAGTATTGCGCGACGCTATTACTAAATATGAGTGAAACACAGCAAAGTCAGTTGCAGGTAGCACAAAATCGGGCTATGAGAGTAATATTACAATGTGATAGGTATACCAAAGTAGAATGTATGCGGGATGCACTGCACTTTATGTCTATAAAACAACGGTTATATTATAATGTTTGTTTATTTATTTTTAAGATCTTAAGAAACTTGTTACTATTAAGAGATAGGTTAGAAATAATAGAAAGTGAAAGAAAAACGAAGCAAATTGGAGACATTAAAATAAAATTCAGAAAAACGAGGAGCGCACAAATAATATGTTTTATGAAGAGATAAAAATGTACAACGCCTTACCAGAGGAAATAAAAAGTAAAGAAAGATTTGAATCATTTAAAAGAATGTTAAAACATATGTTATAGCAAATGTTTGTTAAAACTGTATTTTAAGTAGCTGAGAAAGCTAAATAAAGATCAATCAATCAATCAATTTCTCGCACTTTTCTCATTCTCTGTCACTCTCTCTCGCACTCTCTCCCACTTTTTCTCACTATTTCTCACCCTCTCTCGCACTATCTCTCACTTTCTCTCGCATTCTTTTTCACTCTTTCTCGCACTCTCTCGCATTCTCTCTCACTCTTTCTCACTCTCTCTCGCACTTTGTCTCCCTATTTCTCGCACTCTCTCTCACTTTTTCTCACTCTCTCTCGCGTTCTCTCTCACTCTTTCGCAGTCTTTCTCACTCTTTCTCACACTCTCTCACTCTTTCTCACTCTCTCTCGTATTCTCTTCCACCTTTTCTCACTCTCTCGCACTTTCTCGCATCCTCTCTCACTCTTTCTCACTCTCCCTCGCACTCTTTCGCACTCTTTCTCACTTTCTTTCACTCTTTCGCACTCTCTTTCGCACTCTCTTTCACTCTTTCTCACTTTCCTTCTCATTCTCTCTCACTCTCTCTCGTACTCTCTCGCATCCTCTCTTACTCTCTTTTGCACCCTCTTTCACTCTCTCTCGCATTCTCTCTCACTTTTTCTCACTATCTCTCGCACTTTCTCGTACTTTTTTTCACTCTTTTTCTCTCTCTTTTACACTTCTTCGCACTCTCTCGCACTCTCTCTCACTTTCTCTCGCACTCTCGCTCACTCTCTCTCGCGCTCTTTTGCACTCTTTTGCATTCTCTCTCACTCTCTCTCGCTCTCTCTTGCACTCTCTCGCACCCTCTCTCACTCTCTGTCGCATTCTTTCTCACTGTCTCTTACTTTCTCTCGAATTTGGTCTCACTATTTCGCACTCTCTCTCACTCTCTCGCACTCTTTCTCACTTTATTTCACTCTCTGTCGCTCTCTTTCTCGAAGTTTCTCGCACCCTCTGTCACTCTCTCTCGCACTCTCTCTTACTTTCTCTCAGTATTTCTCACTCTTTCTCGCATTTTCTCCCACTCTCTCTCGCACTCTCTTGCATTCTTTCTCACTCTCTTTCACTCTCTCTCACTCTCTTTCACTCTCTTTCATTCCCTCTCATCCCCGATAGCCATGTGATGGCACCGTGACGCCACTGCGACCCAGCGTTGCCGTGGAACTTGCCACACGTGACGTCACGCAGTAGAGAGATAGAGAGGTACGAGTCGTACCTCTCTATCTCTCTACTGCGTGACGTCACGTGTGGCAAGTTCCACGGCAACGCTGCTGCGACCGCACGCTGTGGCGCACGCGTGACAGCACGAGTATGTCCAGGCAGTGTTGCTAGATCGGGCCGGCCAGCACCAAGAGCACCGAGATGGTGGGGGCACGCATACAGCGAGAACCGCCGTCCGTGTGCGTGACGTCAC